CATGGTGCATTCATTCAAATATTGAGCATCCATTTTTTATATACCAGGTGCTCTTAGAGGTTCTGAGAAGACACAAAGCCCAATAAAACAGATTATGGCTGCAAAGAGCTCCTAGTCTAGTCTGGAGGCACACGCAGTCCATGTTCATTATTTGTGAATTCTATATTTGTGAACTTGCCTACTCGCTAACATTTACTTGTAACTTCAAAATCAGTACTCTGGTGACTCTGTGTCATTTGCCATGTGCACTGTACAGCAAAAAACTTGAGTCACCAACATACATATTTCTAGCTGAGGTCAATTTATTTATTTATTTATTTATTTATTTATTTATTTATTTATTTATATTTTTTAATTTTTTTTTATTTTATTGCTTAAAGTATTACAAAGCGTATTACATATGTGTCCATTCCCCCCCCCCCCGCCCTAGACAGTCCCCTAGCCTCCCCTACCCCCCAGTGTCTTATGTCCATTGGTTATGCTTATATGCATGCATACAAGTCCTTTGGTTGATCTCTTACCCCCCTACCTCCTGCCCCCCAACCCTCCCCGGCCTTCCCGCTGCAGTTTGACAATCTGTTTGAGGCAGCTCTGCCTCTGTATCTATTATTGTTCAAAAGTTTATAATTGAGGTCAATTTAGGCAGAGTTCTGCCTTGTTTTAGCTCTCATGCTGTGAATAACTACCCTTTCCCTGATCTACTTAGTGCCATGTTTTTCACATTTCTGTGCTTTATATGGGTGAGTTCGCTGTTTAAAATGGACCCAAGCATAGTAATGAATTGTTATGTAGTGTTTCTAAGTGCGAGAAGGCTGTGATGTGCCTTACTGGAGAACATGTCCGTGTTAGACAAGCTTTGTTCCAAAGTTATATGAGCTATAGTGCTGTTGGCTGTGAATTCAATGCCAGTGAAGCAACAATGTATATTAAGTAAGGTGTCTTTAAACAGAAACACATATTAACCAAGGTTGTGTACTGATCAGTTGATGAAAATGTTGGGAGTAGATGCTCACAGGAACCTAACCCTCTATTTCCCTTAGGAGCAATGGTTCACTATTTTCTAGTTCAGTGTTTTTGATAACTTCATAAAACATAGCTACTGGGAATAACAAAAATGGACTGTGTAAAATCTGATGTGATAAACATGGTCTGGTGAGTGGGAAGGTAAATGTGTGATGGCAATACTTTGGAAACATACACGAAAGAACATTTGACATGGCCTTAAGAGTAGAAGAGGGCTTTAAAGAAGGGTTGCTTTTGAGCTGGGATTTTAATAAATGAGTAGAAATATAATGAGTGGGCCAGGACACAAGGTCATTTAAGGCCCAGGGGACCATGTGCAAAGGAAGGGTGGTCTCAAAGAGCTTGGCAATCTCAGTCACTAAAGAAGCCATTCAAATCATGGGCTCCAACTCAGCCACAGCAACGGTTGTCAGCCATTACCAAGTTTCCCTACATAGATGGGGCTGTGATCTCTGCAACGAGGAAGTGTGCAGCATGTCAGCTGTAAAAATTGGCTCAATATTCATAATCAGATCTGTTATGCTCCCTCTGAGGCCTGACCATGTTTCCTTAGAAACCCCTAGTTACATAAAGCAACTGTGGCCTGTAATTGGCAAGAAAACCCGCCACCTTTGGGAGTCAATACAGTAATGCCAGAGGGAAAGCACTATATGATTCCTGGGGAAACAAGTGAAGTAGGAGGACAAAATGGAAACTCCTTCGTATAGAGCAGCAAGCAGAGAGCATTGTAGGCTCTCTGACACCGAATCAGTCCGCCTCCACTCCCGGTCCTCAACTGTGAATCAGCCCACTAAGTAGCAAGTAGCACTTACTGCATGACCAGCATCACCCAAGGTGCTAGGAGGACACACACACACACACACACACACACACACCTATTCTTTTTTTCACAGCTACAAAGCCCTCCCATCAACCTTCGAAGGCAGGTTTTACTACTCCCATTTTTTTTGGAAGAGAAATTCAAAACTCCAGAGGCTTAAGTAACTTCTGTTCACACAGCTAGTGAGTGGCAGAATGAGGATGCACGCTCAGCTTTGATTCCACATCCAGTGGGGCTTTTATCTGTGTCTCAGATAAGGTCCTTTTCTTATCTGAGACATAGAGAAAAGAAGTGTTACCACAGTGCCACCACTAAGGTGAGGCATCGTTAGCACTGAGGGGAGGGGTCTTTGATGGCTGGAGGTGGGGAGGAAGTCATCCTAGGTGCCTATATAGGAGCAAAGGTACATAATCAGGAATGACCTTTCAAAGAACAAGGGGGCTTTTGCTGAGAAAGGGCCTCGTTCCACCTGCCCCAGGATGGACCTCAGTGGATGGAGAGGAGCCCTGGGTGGGACCAGCCCTTGTTGCTCTATCTCCAGAGTGGACGCCCATCTTCCGTGATCCAATCATTCTAATAGTCAAGAACTATAATCGGGGACTGGTTTGTGGGAAGAATTATTCTCAGCCTGGGGATGCTTTTCAAACGTGAGGGAGCAGAGCCTGGTCCATGGAGGGCAGCTCACAACCCGTGGGCGATGGTGGTAGTGCTCTTCTGATGATTCTCACTGCTGCCTCCTCTCTCTGTCCGTCTCTGGCCCCCAAGTGCTCCTAGCCTATCATCGTTCTCTTTATTGGAGGCTCCAGTCAAGGCTGGCCCGTCCCTGGCAGCTCCCAGGGTTAAGTGCAGCCTTCTCGGTTCTTCACTCTCAGCCTCCAGCCTCACTTTGTCTAGTCCCTCTAGCGCTGCGGCCACACTGAACCCCTTTGTGTCTCTACCTAGAGTGTCCTTGACCCCATTCCTACCTAGGGAAGTCTAGCTCATCCCCCAGGGCTCAACATAAAGGGGTCTGCTCCTGATTTCCTCCAATCACAATGAATGCCTTCTCGTGCTGGGTCCATACCACCAATACCTCTATTCTCATCTGTTTCCTATTCTGCCTTGTCACAAACTGAGCTGGCAAGCTGTCCGTGTACTCTCCCAGGCTGGGCGCAGGCTCCATCGTTTAGCACAGTACCTGGCACTTTGCCAAAGTTCAAGAAATCTCTAAAACACACACACACACACACACACACACACACAAATAAGTGATGAGGGTGTCCTTGAAACTAGAATAGTTCCGTTTAAATTTAATTTAACTACGACATTAAAGTTCATTTTAGCAAATGTACATTGTGAATAAAAACCATCTGAAACTTTATCTCAAGCTACCTGGCTCCCTCAATGATAACTTCATTTCACTGTAATCTTTATTATGCAAACCTCTAAACTTGTTATTAGCATCACTGATGACGCTGGAAGACTATTTCATCTGATCATCGTGTCTTAGGAAACACTTAACTGTTAAATTCCACACTGATAATTCGAAACCCTGTTATTCCACAGGGGGCTAGGCAATACCATGAGGGTACCCCTCAGTGCCTGAAACAGAAGCTGTCTTTATGTGCGTGGAAGTGATATTTCCTGCATCAAATAGTCTCCTCTCACCAACCTACGCTGTATTCTGAGGACAGGTGGGTGGAAAGTAAGGAGTCCTCTTGTTTTCTGAAATGATAGTGCTTTATGGGGTGAATGGCGTCTGTGGCTGATTCATCCTTGCCCTTCCCAGAGCCTGGCCAGGTTCAAGGTGGACGGAATAAATTTGATATGTTGGTGTGTAGGTGTGGGGGTGGAGTGAGAAGAATTTTCTAATAGAATCACCCCAAATTAATGTGGGTCGTCCTTGTAGGGAATGACAGCAGGGGCTGGGCCAGGAATGCAGGCCTGGGCAGACACACATGAAGAATGGGAAAGTGTTCATTCGGATCCTAAGGCCCCCTACCAATGGGGGAACTGTTTCATTCTGACCAGACTGTGCCCTCCTGGCTCCTGTCTGAATTCTTGCCAAAACCCAGCACAGGAAGCCATGCCAAGCGGCTCATGGGAGCTTTTCAGACCCACCTATGGATTGTCAGAGGCTCAGAAAGAGGGGGGACCCGACCAAGCTCTCCCGAAGCTTCCTGCACTCAGCTCTGCCTGCCTTATGCTACCAGCTACCAGCCCACACACTCCTGCAAGGGCACAGCTCCAGGCACACGCCTTGACCCCTTGTAGGAATCTAATAAATGTCTCAGGATGCTCGGGCTGATGGCCTGGAAAAGGAAGCAGGAGAAGCCTGAGCCTGCAGGACCGGCCCCCGCCTCCCCCCCCCCGCCCCCCCCCCCCAAACTGGGGCTCTGACTCACAACCTGTTTGGCACTGGACAGCCCTCTCTGGTTTCCTGAATCTCTCTTTAATGCAAAAAGCCTTCATGGCAGATGTTTTAGAACAATGATCATGACAATGACACGGTAATCCCTGCTTTCCCCTTGCATCATAGAGGTTTTTTTAAGTGTTTTTGTAGACTGACTCTTCTGGGTAATTATATTTGAACTAAGCATCTGTGAAGACTTTTCTGGTGGCCTCCTCAATTAGATCATTGCGCCCTCCTGCCCCCCTTTGCCCCCCAGGACTGGGAACCTGTTACCAGTGTGAGCAGGGAGCTGGGTTTCGAATCCAAGGTGATTTGAGGGTGGGGATATGGTCTGACCGGGCGCAGGGCCACTATTTGAGGGTGGGGTGAATCTAGGAGTTGATTGCTGGGCCTTTCCTGTGCTTTTTGTGGTTGTTTGTTTGTTTGTTTCTCTTTTTGGCGGGGAGAGGGGGTATGGAGGAGTTCCAGGGCTGGAAACAGCAGATCCCGGCTTCCCCGGGGAGGGCGAAGCCCAGCGGCCGAGCGACGGGCAGGGGCGACCGCGTGCGCACTGGGTCCGCACCAGCTCCTGGGCAGGGGGTGGGGGGGTGGGGGGGACCAGGCCGGAGCCGCGGGGTGGGGATCCGGGGGTGGGGATCCAGGGGCGGGGCGGGCCGGGCGGGGCCGGCGGGGGGCGGGGCGGCGGGCGGGGCGGGGCTCCGGAACCGTCTCGGGCTGCGGTGCGGCGGCCGCTGGAGAGGCGATCGCGGCGGCAGCGGCGGCGGTGGACGCGGCCGAGCGGGGCGGCGGCGGCTCCGGTGAGCGCAGCGCGGGCGCGGCGGGGACGCGGCCGGGGGTCTGCAGGGAACGGGCTGTGGAGGCGCCGCGGAGCCCCGCATCCTCCCCAGCCGTGGGAAGGGAGGGCGGGCGCTGGAGGACCCCGTCCTAACGCCCTTCTCCTGCCATCGCCGCCTGGACGGCCTTCTGGGCAGCCCACTGCCCCTTCTCCCCAGAACAGCCTCGGGGTATGTTCCCGACCTCCGCCCTCGCCCCTCAACCTTCCACCCCCCCTTTCTCCCCGCCCCCTCCCCCCTTCAGGTATCATCAGCTCCCAAACCATCTTTCTAGGGGACCCCCGCCCTCTGCTTCCCCTTCCCACCGGGAGAGGCCGCTCCCCATGAGTCCCTAAGGCCCCAGGGATGGGGTGAGCGCTCCCCCCGCCTGCACACCTGGACCCTTCCCCTGCCACCTGCCCCAGAGATTCTTAGTCGGGTGCAAGCTGTTGTGCTGGGACCCAGGCCTCCTTGCCACCCTCGCCCCCCCTCTGCCCCCCAATCTGGAAGAAGGGACTGACTTTGAGCTTTGGGAACAATTCGACCCACTTCCTGAAAGGCTGGTCCCTGGCCAGCAGGGCGGTGTGGTGGAGACACCTGTCTTGCCTGCCAGCTGAAGGACCCAGAAGCCTCTGTCAGATGGGCCAGGTGGTCCCTGGGTCCATCCCAGCCTCCCTGATGTACTTACTGGCCGGGATCCCCAGAGACTAGGCCCAAGAGCGTGGTCATTTAAGATCTCCAAAGCTATTTACCGACCCCACCCAGACCCCCAGGACTTCCCCAGCCACCGGTCTCCCCTCCCACACCCTGGGTTTCCCACCTGCTCCCTGGGACCCAGGGCTGGTGTTCAGGGCCTTGGTCTCCCCACCGCTGGGTGGCTCTCCTTCCTTTCCCTGTTTGAAACTTTCCCCTCTCACCAGCCACCATCACCCTGCACCGCCTTGAGTCCCCAGGGCGCAGAGTTGGGCTGGGACCATGCAGGGCTGGGACCTGTGCTGGGCCAGCACCAGGAGGGTTGGTGCCAGCCAGGGCAGGCTGGGCATCTGGGCCTGAGGGCCAGGGCTTTCGGGTGGGTCCCAGGCTCGCCCTGAGCTCTGAATGGGGTCCCAGGGCTTGCTTTGCCATGAAGCGAGGAGGCAGAGCAGGGGCTGTTTTTCTTGCATGCTTCCGACTGTCTTGTGTTGCCATGGCGACAGTTTTGCCTCCCTTCCTCCTCCTGACTCTTCTGGGAGCTGGTTTTTATTGGTCTGTTGTCCTGTCTTTTATGGCTTTAATTTCTCCTTTCTACTTGCTCTGGGATAAACAGTCATAAACATGGGCACTGGGCCAGGCTGGGGGCTAGCAGAGCTTCACCTCATCCTGGCCCTGCCCTCCTGCCAGGGAAAATAGGGCCAAGAGGTGGGGACAGACCTGCCCACACCCCCTCCTGCTCCCAGCTCTGCGCTGGGGGGCGGGGGGGGAGCACCCACGGGCATGGCACCACAGTCCCAGGCACACTGTGGGCAGCATCCTGCCTCGGTCCTAATAATAGATGTCGAGTGCGGTGGGGGAGCCGGCAGGCGTTATTTCCTTTCATCTTGATGGCAGCCCTGTGGGGTCGGGGCTGTCCCCACTTTGCCGAGTGAGCTGTCTCCCTGGCGTCACCTGAGGTTTGCACACAGTGCTCAGTTTTTGTGAAGTGAATGGGACAGTGATGGAGCTGGCATCCCCCTGACTTTCCTCCGAGGCTCATGGGAGGTGGTCCCCAGTTTTCCGGCCCCTCTGCGTGCTGCTGGACTCCCACGGAGGCGGAGGAGAGCTGCTGGGAGCTGCCTGATAGGTCCCTTGACCCCAAGTGTAGGGACCCGAGTTGAGAGGAGAGCGAAGCCACTTGCAACTTCCTGTTTTCACTCAGCACTGAGAAGCATTCAGTTTGCTTTTACTCTCAGGGCCTGGATGCAACTGGATGAGTCAGGGACACTGAGAGCCCATCTGTCCCTCCCAAGCCAGCCCCTGCTCAGAGCGCACCCGGCCCCAGGGTCACGGCTGGCAGCTGTCAGTGACACTCGCCAGAGAAGCTCCTCTTCTCTTCCTTTTTATACTTCCCTTCATTCCACACTCTTCTCCCCACTCCCTCCCCTTCTCCCCTCACATGGCCCAGGCTCTGGGCTTGTTAATAAGCTGGAAAAGCACTGTGGTCACATGAACAGACCGGAGAAGCAACAGCCTCAAGGTCAAACGTTGACCCTGAGGAAATGCCGTCACTCATCTGGGCCTCAGTTGGCAGCATCTGTCCTCGTGGCCACATTGGCTGGTGCTGGTAGGATGGGATGGAGTCTTTTCTAGAGAGAGTGCTTTGGAAGGTTGAAAGCCTGAAGCACCTATAACATCCTCTCTGGTGAAGAGACCTTGACCCACCGCTCAGAGATCGAGAACTGGTTTAGGAATAATTAGCTGCAAAATCTCATGGTTAGGGGCATTCTTTAGTCATCTTATCCAGCCTTGATGTTGAATCTGTTTGTTTATGTACCTTTCATTAATTGGGCATCTACTCTGTACCAAATGCAGTTTGGGGAATTGGGGATTAAAAAAGTGAGTACAGTTACTGTTCCAAGCATGCTGTCTGCTGATGAAGACAGTCATGGAAAGAGAGCCTTGTAATACAGTCAGAGAGGTGGGTCATAGAGAAAAGGAAGGGTCCCAGAGTTGGTGACTTGACTGGGTCACCCATTAAGGTTGACGCAGGCAGCCTGTGCCGTGTGGCTGAAATCCAGCAGTCCTGCCCCTGCCCACTTGGCAAGCCCTGGTCTGGCCCTCACAGCGATGGGGTGATTGCTGCAGAGCCCCCCGTTCAGCTCCTGTGAGCAGGGCCAGGAGAGAGGCATGTGGCAGGGAGCCAGCCCTGCCTTCCTCGCTGAGTTTTGACTCATCCACTCCTAGTAGCCGCTGGTTCCTGTTTCATCTTGGTCAAGCTCCTTCCTCAGGGGCTACATTGCAAAGAGCAGATTTTGAAGTTAGATCTGAGTTCAGACTTTATTGCTGTGATGTCCTAGCTGTGAGACTCTGAAAAAAAACAAACAAACACCTCTCTGAGCCTCCATTCTTGCATCTGTAGAATGGCACTAACGATACTTGCCTTCTCAGAAACAAATTATCTTACGTATTTATAGGGTCTGGCCTGGTGCCCACCTCACATTAGACTTGCTGTTATTTAGTTATATTGATTAGAAAAGAGTTCGCAGTTACTGGGCCTCTGGGTCCTCTTAGAAGCGTGGTGGGAAGCTCTTCGGACTAATTCTGGCCTTCAGAGATCCATTCATTATCTGGGAAGGTTAAAAATCGCTCAGGTGCCTCACGCTGCTGGTTAATCTCTGCCTTATCTCCCACCAGATAAGCTCTGTTCCATGGCACCAGGACACTGTGTGAATCACCAAGGCCTTTGTTTTCTCAAAGAGGAACACATTGGAAATGGCAACAAATGCCCTGGTTTTCAAAGACGTGTTCCTGCCTTGAGAATGCTTTCATTTGGTGTCGTTCCTTCCATGCTTTTTTTGCTTTTGTTGCCTTTGCTTTGGTGTCAAATCCAAAAATGCACCACCAAGACCCGTGGCAAAGAGCTTACTGCCTAGGTTCTGTTCTAGGGATTTTATGGTTTCGGGCCTGACGTTCAGGTTTTTAGTGCATTTCGAGTTGACTTTGGAGTCTGATGTGAGACTGTGGTCCAGTATTGTTCTTTTGCACGTGGCTGTCCAGTTTGCTCAACACCATGCATTGAAGAGACTGTCCTTACCCCATGGCATATTCTCGGTTCCTCCATCAGAAAATAGTTGAAAGTGAATGTTGCATCGTTTTTATTCTGAGCATGTTTAGCTTCCTTTTGTTTTTTTCAGAGTTACCCTATGTGTGTATTTACGTTGTTTTTCGAATCCTCCATACAACTTCTGGGCATTACTGTTCCCATTCCCTATTTACTGTTGAGGGAACAGGGAGAGGTGAGGTCGGCTGCACAGAGTCCAGCGGTTAGCGAGTGGCAGGGCCAGAATTTAAAACTGGGTCCCGCCGGCTCTTTGTGCCACTGCACACAGTCTTGTCATTTTCTTGGCTGGCGTGTCCGTGACCTAAAATAATTGCGCTTGAAGAATGTGTGCAGATTTCAGCGGGGGTGGAACTGGTCAGTGTTGTAACTCAGACTCATAGTAAATATTTAGAGACTTTATTAGGGTTCTGCTCTCGGCTCAGCACTGACGAGGCGTCTTTTCTAAAAGTGATGAATAGGAGCTTGACACCTCTGAGCTGGGAGGAAGCGTTTGATAAAGCTGGAAGTAGCTTTCTTTGCACAAGAATGGATTGCTGCTCTTGTCGAGGAAATAAATGGAACTGTTTTCATAATGGAACGTGCGGAGGGAAAGCATGACAGGTACATCCCAGGGACTCAGGGACGGAAGCAGTGAGGCCACAAAGTGTGGGTGGGTGGGTGGCTGCTCACAGGCAAGGGCGGTGTGGATTCGGCAGCCTAACTCCCATCTAGGAACGTGGAGGTGTTGGAAAGCAATTATAGAATCACTAACCTTTCCCGGGGAACGTAGGAGTCTGCTTGCCTGGTTTAGGCGCCCCATTGGACCAGTGAGTCCCAGTGCTGGAAATGGGCGTGTTGTTTGCCAGCAGTGAGCTTACTAGGTCCGCCTTGGCCCTGCCGACAGACGCGCTTCTCTTCGCAATTATGTCAGGCCTGCGTCTGGTGTCTGCTTGTTTAATGACTTCCCTTTCTAATAAAACTTCTATAGGGCCTGGATAATTAGGTATTTAAAATGAAACTGGGGAATGCAGTGTCCCCAAAGAGTATAATTGCACTTTTAGGATGGATGAAGCATCAAAATGAGATCATTCATTCATTCATCCATTAACCCTGTGCTGCAGGAGGTAGGACACTGTGGTCAGTGTGGCCTTGTCCCTGCCCGCAGGTGGCTCTCATTCCACGGGGAGGCAGAGGGGCGGAAGCAGGGATCCGGGCAGAGTGCAGTGTCCCAAGGGAACCGGGGGACTCGGGAGATGTCTTTGCCTCTACTCAGAGCCACACAGCCCATTTTCTTCCCCGGGTGTCACCTGTGGAGCACCTGAATTCCACCTGACATGTTGCAGGGGAGCAGGGGGGTGACGCCTGGGGCAGAGAAGCATGTGGCCTGGACTGGACCCAGGTTCCTCTGCTCCTTGCT